AGTTGGTAGAATTACCGACAATATGTAAAGTAAAAGGACACAAGTGCAACTAATGTGACATTTATTGTGGCAACGTTTCGCTCTCCAGGAGCTTTATCAAGCCATTACAAACAATACATGGACACAGAGGGTATATAAAGGCTCAGAGTGAGGTGAATACTAGTGAGGTACCATTTCGATGTTCACTAGTGGTAGTTAGTAGTAGTAGTAGTAGTAGTGGTAGTGACAAAAGTAATACAATATGGTAGAGCAATTAATTCGTACATGAGTAAAAGGATATAAAAGCTATTACTTGGGTAACATAAAAATAGGTTGGACAAATATAAACTGGAATGAAGCAGCTTGTTTCAGTGTTCTCTCTCTGTGCTTTGTGTAGTATAACAGGAGAGACTATGTGATGGCAGGGTTTACTGTTTTCAGGAGGATTCTTGCTAAGACTTCGGAGATGGTGAAGCTGCCGTTGTTTTGTTTAATTGTATTCGAAACAGCGATCAGTGATGATTCAAGGCACTTGAATCACATAGTCTCTCCTGTTATACTACACAAAGCACAGAGAGAGAACACTGAAACAAGCTGCTTCATTCCAGTTTATATTTGTCCAACCTATTTTTATGTTACCCAAGTAATAGCTTTTATATCCTTTTACTCATGTACGAATTAATTGCTCTACCATATTGTATTACTTTTGTCACTACCACTACTACTACTACTACTACCACTAGTGAACATCGAAATGGTACCTCACTAGTATTCACCTCACTCTGAGCCTTTATATACCCTCTGTGTCCATGTATTGTTTGTAATGGCTTGATAAAGCTCCTGGAGAGCGAAACGTTGCCACAATAAATGTCACATTAGTTGCACTTGTGTCCTTTTACTTTACATAAAGTCAGGTTGTGATGTAGTTCAGCTGGGCTTGTGAGGTCTCTGTCTGTCAGCCACGCCTTTTCGGCTTAAGACTGAGGTCTTTTGTTCTGGACGGCGTCAGACCTCGGCGTCAGGTCAAAACACATGGTGCACACCCCATTGTGGGGGGTGCTAGTGGGACAATAGAAGCCCAAGGAACAACTGAGGAAGAAGACTTTGAGCAGAGCTGTTGCTGTGTGCAGAGCTCTGAGCAGGAGAGACTTCGAGCGAAGCTGCTGCTGGGGTGTAGGGCTCGGGAGAAGGCTGCTGAAGTCTCTGGAGGAGACTGTTGGAGACATTGGGCAGAGTACTGGCTTCGAGCAGTACCTGTGCTGTGTAGGTCTTGGGACCTGTGGCTTAGTTCCTGTGGTGAACTGTCCTCTGAACTACATTGTAAGTTATATTCATTTTTGCCAAGTTGATTGTATTCCTTGTCTCACTGCTTATGTGTACCACCCCATTTATCCAAACCCCCAGTAATGTTCTCCTGTTCCCAAATATGTTATTATACAAGGACTTAATAATAAACTGTTTGAGTAGAATAGTAATATTCACTGTCCCCGTTATTTGCTCTAGAGGGTGAGTAGTGTGGTGGGTAGAGTAATGAGAGGTGAGGATGTAGTCACCAGTGACCTCACATTACTTACCTCGCTAATCATCTCTCCTGCCTGTCCCCTGCCTACATAACCCCTTACTCCTATATTCCCCGATTAATAATTACGTTCCATTACCCCCCCCACATGAAATGGTGTCTAAGCGGTGGTGATTCTTATTTTTATAATAGGAATCAGTCCCATGTGCCTTTTTGACTGCTCGGTTATACTTATGTTATGCTACCATTTGCTATCATTTTTCTTGTGTGTGTAAGGTTTAAGTAAATATCTGTGTGATATTATAATCCTAGTGACCTTAAACTGACCTTTTTTGACGGTGGGTCTGAGTAATTGTGTGGTTGCATTATTATATATTTGGTGGAATTGTGTGTTGGTTTGGGATAAATGGTGGAAGGTGTGAAGGTTTGGGTGAGACTTTTGGGGGAAACAATTACTGGCCGAAATTGAATACTTAAAGAGGAATGAGAAGTCACCCAGCCCGCCTTGAAAGACTCACCCACAACTGTCACCCATTGAAGAGCTGCCTATGATTGCTATCCAGCTGATGTGCCCCAGTAGATGTATTGCTGCCCTGCTGTCATCCATTGTAGTGTCTGTCTGCATCACCCAGCCTCTGTGACCATCGCCCGCGGACTGCCAGTTACTCGCAGTTGCCAGGGATGGGTGACCGCACCTGCTGTTGATGACCTGAAGTGACCTCACCTCACCTCACCTCGAGCAACTGACCATAGCCTGCTACTGCTGATGTCGGCTGCTGTGATGCTGTCTGCAATGCTGTGGCCGTGCTGTGATGCTGAGATGCTGGGACCGTGCTGCAGTGCTGTAGCAGTGCTGCTGTACTGCGGCCGTGCTGTGGTGCTGAGATGCTGGGACCGTGCTACGATGCTGTGGCAGTGCTGCTATGCTGCAGCCATGCTGTGATGCTGAGATACTGGGACCGTGCTACGATGCTGCCTAGCTCAAGAGGAGACAATGGCGGTGATGCTGCAGTGGTGGATGAGGGATTCTGGCTGGTGTGCCAGGATAAGAGAGCCTGCTATCAAGAGCGGTATGGAGGTGTATCCTGCCTTGCTGGTCGACCTGTACGACCGGTATGCGGGGATGTCCTGCCAGCCATGAGAGACAGTTAAGAGTGTGAGATGTCCCTATCCAGAAGTGTTACTGTTACCTGTGTGAAATAAGGTGACCTTGAATATGGTCCAGTGATTATGGTCGCCTTGTTTTATGAGGCCAGCGAATCCTAGTAGTGGAATAAGATAATGGAGGGTCTTAGCTGCCATGCCTGCCCTGTCTCGATTTTCAGATGTTGAAGTGTGCATGTGAAGTGTGCTGAAAATGCGACCTTGGTGGTCGTGAAGTGGTCCAGTTGCAGTTACTTGAAAGAATGCAACCCGTTGGAGCAGTTTTCCACGCCAAAGAAACCTAGAGAGGTTTGACCCAATGGTTAACGTGCGAGGGTAACTAGTACCGGCTAGTGCATTTCTAGTAGAACTAGGGAAGGCACTGGAGCCTGATATTTAGTTTTAAGGAGAAATGACAGGTAAGGAGGCTTTGCACCAGAGAGCAACTGTTATGCTGGTCAACTGCCAGGTGTACTGATTATGCTGCCTTGTGGGGACTGAGGAGGTTGAGGGAAATATATGTAGTTGAATAATTTTGTATTATGTTATGTATAATTTTGTCTTTGTATTGTAATAGAATTAAGGGGTTAGGATTAAAATAGTCTAATAACTTAGGACAAATTGTCCAAGCTCTCAGATATTTTAAGCTGGGGGAGAAAGGGGGATGTGATGTAGTTCAGCTGGGCTTGTGAAGTCTCTGGGGAGACCTAATTATATGGTCACACCTTGCCTTGGCAAACGTCTGTCAGCCACGCCTTTTCGGCTTAAGACTGAGGTCTTTTGTTCTGGACGGCGTCAGACCTCGGCGTCAGGTCAAAATACATGGTGCACACCCCATTGTGGGGGGTGCTCTCAGGACAATATAAGCCCAAGGAACAACTGAGGAAGAAGACTTTGAGCAGAGCTGTTGCTGTGTGCAGAGCTCTGAGCAGGAGAGACTTCGAGCAGAGCTGCTGCTGGGGTGTAGGGCTCGGGAGAAGGCTGCTGAAGTCTCTGGAGGAGACTGTTGGAGACATTGGGCAGAGTACTGGCTTCGCACAGTACTCGTGCTGTGTAGGTCTTGGGACCTGTGGCTTAGTTCCTGTGGTGAACTGTCCTCTGAACTACATTGTAAGTTATATTCATTTTCGCCAAGTTGATTGTATTCCTTGTCTCACTGCTTATGTGTACCACCCCATTTATCCAAACCCCCAATAATGTTCTCCTGTTCTAAAATACGTTATTATACAAGGACTTAAAAATAAACTGTTTGAGTAGAATAGTAATATTCACTGTCCCCGTTATTTGCTCTTTTATTCATTAATTTATTTCAGGTAGTGAGAGGGTGAGTAGTGTGGTGGGTAGAGTAATGAGAGGTGAGGATGTAGTCACCAGTGACCTCACATTACCTACCTCCGCTAATCATCTCTCCTACCACCTCGCCTGCCTCTCCCCTGCCTACATAACCCCTTCCTCCCATATTCTCCGATTAATAATTCGTTCCATTACCCCCCCCCCCTACATGACAAGATGGTCATGTGACCTAACCTCCAGGGTTTTATAAGTTTTTCCCAGTTATTTAGTTCTATTTACTGTACCGAGCTTCTCGTTTATTTTTAAACTGTGGGATTTCCGAATTATCCGCCAATGTGACATTAACCTTTAATTTCTTAATCTAATCCCATGATGGAATACCTGCCATTAAACAACTACTTCAACTATTTTCATCATCTAAAAGAAATTAGCGATTCGAATCTGCACTCATGGCTACCATAAAGCGTAGAAATCAATGTTTTTCATTCAATAAATGCTCTGCTGAACAACGTTGTTCTTAACTGAACAAGACTGTCTGAATTCATTTGGCATGGAATAGATTTTATATGAATTGTTTGACATAACTACTGCCACCATTCCTCTGCACCGAGAAATCTGACTAAACTGTGACTTTATCATTAAGTGAATTTGGAAATGTTAATTGTGGAATATAGATTTTCGAGCCTTGTACTGATGAGTGTGATTTGTGTTCTCTCTGTCGTATAAGACGACCTACTTTGACTTACTAATAGAAAAATATTGCTATTTTTGTTATATTATTACTGACTGTGACTAGAAAATAATGCTAATTCTGATAGAATACTTCCATGTATTAGGCGGAAATTTTGTAGAATGGCGAAATTATTTTTGTAAGATAAATTTAATTTGAGAAGGCAATTATTTTTTGTAGTCAACTGCTCAATGAACACAAATAATGATTAACAAGGAAAATACACGTCATAAATATATGCAGTTGTGGTTTCTTTGAAAACCGGATATTGTGGCTACTCCTACATGGAGGGAGTACCAAGGAAAAGGAAAGATAAATAAAAGTACATAGATAGTTACACAAGCGCTAGCTCTTACCTGTAAGACTCTGGTCTAGGTTCCCCAACATCCGCTCGATACTGAGCAACTCTATGAGCCTTTCCGTCGCGATCCTTGATCTCCAGTGAACGCTGGTCTTCCCAGAATTTGAATTCCTTCTCAAGCAGTTCAATATTCTCACTGTAATGGACGAAAAGTAAATAAGAGAGAAACAATTTATCAAGTTAGATTATTATAATAAAAAAGAAGCGCTAAACCACAAGGGCTATACAGCGCTGCTTATCAAAATAGAGATCAGCACTATTTCAATGGCTGAGTGAATTCTTAGGGGGATTTTGCTGTAATGCTAAAATAAGCAATTATTTTCTCATTCCATTCACTTCCTCCATATACCTTTATATCTGACCTATATTCACTCTTTCCATATATGTGTTTTTATTTGTCCTTATTAACCAACTCTTTTACGGTGTTCACTTTCAGCTTCATTCTTGTACATGCTATTACTAACTCCAACAACTTCTACAACATTTTCCTCTGTCATCTACAGATTAAGAATCTCACTTTAAATCACATTCATTATCTTTTAAGCTCAAACTTTTTCATAACTAACTTTCACCTGTTTTATAACCCAGTTTTCAAACACCTCCATCAACAGTGATTTCATTGCATTCCTATTTAAAGATCTGTTTACCGGAAAACATCCCTTTTTTTTATTATTCCTGAGCCTCACACTTCTCTTGAAATACTCAACAATTTTAGATAACTTTTCATCTGTTCAATACATTTGCTGCACTACTTGCATTACTTCATTTTCCACCCAATAATGTTTTTTTTCTCGAAATCCATTAATGCAACATACACCTCATTCTCAACTAAGTACTGCTCACTTATGTGTTTTAACGTAAATACTACTTGAATAACTCGTACCCTTTCCTTCCTAAAGCCATTTCAGCTCATTTATACATATCTAGTTATACATAATGCATCATTCACATATGTCATATACACTTTCGACTCTTTCCCACTTAAAAATCTTGTTGATTCCATTCTCAGTATATGAAATTTCCGTTTTTATTTCAACATCTACAATTAACAACTTATTATCCGGCATCTCACTATCTTAGGATTTCTTCCAATCTTTCGAAAACAGTTTCTTATTCTAAGGAAAAATTTACTGATAATTACTCACTCAATCAGACGATGTAGATTAATAAATAATGATTTACCCGAGAAAGTCGAGATCATTGGTATGGTCCATGTAGAGCTTGACCATAGGGATGAGGTAGGGAGGTTGGCTCCTGCGGGTGTAGTAGATGCGGCCACCATTGGGCACCATACCGTATTTATCAACCATCTTCAGGAAGTTCTCCAGCATTCCCTTCACCGTCTCTGTCATCCCCGACAAGAGTAACCCATCGATAGTCCAGTATGAGTCCCAGTAATAGAACTCCCTGAAAAGATTTTTCCAAATATGTTTACTCAGCCACCAAAATATTTTATAGAAATGTGAAAATAACTTTTCCCTTCCTTCAAGGAAGGAATGGGAAAGATTTTATGATCTCGTGATCCAAAAAAATAGAACTGCCCTTCCTGCAATCAAATCAAATGCTCCCTCACTCCCAAACACTGAGTGATCCTTACGTGTTTAATGTTTTCCAATGGAAAGTATGTTGATTTCAAAAAAGTAAAACTTTGCAATTTTTATACATTTGCACCACGAAAGATAACAGTTTTCTTATATTCCATTTTAACTTTTAATGTATCCTCATTAAAGCACTCTCCATATACATTAAATATTTTACAAATATTTTCTAATTACATAAAAATAATTATGTTAAAGTTTACTGTATAATACTAATACAACACTATCATTTTCTTCATTTTTCTCTTTATATCCCCTATTGATTTCTGCTACTCCTATTTATTTTAACTTTAGCATTGTCTTTCACATTATATTCTTCGTTTACATAATATTTGGATTTCTTCCTGAAGGCATTTGAATATTCCACTTTCCCTACCACCCCACTAGGTTTATTTTATTACATAATATGGTACAAAAGAATTAAAAGATACACTGCAGGTACAAAGATGTCATATACAGAACATGAGATTTGAGGGATACATTTCAAGTGCATTTTGCTAAATGTTTATTAGCAAGAGCTGGGGAGCGTGCCCAAGATACAGCAGTCATTACCCCTATAAAACGCAGAGGGTAATATATATATATATATATATATATATATATATATATATTATATATATATATATATATATATATATAGGTTGGTAGACAGCAACCGCCCAGGGAGGTACTACCGTCCTGCCAAGTGACTGTAAAACGAAGGCCTGTAATTGTTTTACATGATTGTAGGATTGCTGGTGTCCTTTTTTTCTCTTTCATAAACATGCAAAATTTCAGGTACGTCTTGCTACTTCTACTTACACTTAGGTCATACTACACATACATGTTCAAGCATATATATATATACATACCCCTCTGGGTTTTCTTCTATTTTCTTTCTAGTTCTTGTTCTTGTCTATTTCCTCTTGCCTCCATGGGGAAGTGGAACAGAATTCTTCCTCCGTAAGCCATGCGTGTTGTAAGAGGAGACTAAAATGCCGGGAGCAAGGGGCTAGTAACCCCTTCTCCTGTATATATTACTAAATTTAAAAGGCGAAACTTTCGTTTTTCCTTTTGGGCCACCCCGCCTCGGTGGGATATGGCTGGTGCGTTGAAAGATATATATATATATATATAATATTATATATATATATATATATATATATATATATATATATATATATATATAAAATATATATATACACACACAGTATATATTTTATTGTAACCACGGACGAGTGGTATTTAATAACAACACTGCGACTAGCCGAGGACTCGAACCCATGCCGTTTTGGCCCGCCTCACTGGTGAGCGAAAAATCACATGACGCTCTATCCCACAGGACCACCAAATTCTACAAGAATCATGCACCCAGCAGAGCTAGGTGTTTTATCGTGATCTGAGGACATACGGTGGTGTGGCGTGCAGAAACGACGTGGGGTTGAGTCCTCGGCTAGTGGCAGTGTTGTTATTAATATATACATATATTGCTTTCCATTTTCTTTATACATTTACCGTCCTCAATTTTTAATCGTACCAGTTTTCGTGTTCCTTCCCTTGATCACGTGATGACATGTTCTCATTTTATTGACATAATTTTCAGTCATCTCTCTCTACTTGCGTCCCTTCACTGTGTGCCTACCATGTAGAGTCCTTGGGTCATCACTGTCTGTCCGTTCTACTCTTACTCTCCTCACCATGGACAGTGTGTCCAAGTTTACCCTTACCACTTCCATTCCTGAAGACTCGTTTATTTGCCTTGGGCTCGTGTTCAGAGTTTCTTGATAATTTCCAATTAGGTTTTAATGCTACTACTGTGTACGAGGATGATTCTAAATCCTCTGATTCTTAAACTTCACTATTTATCATTATTACATTCTGTAGGGACAAACACTGCAGTCTGATAATTTATCTGTAGATTTAAAAAGCCCATGTTGCTACCATCAACACCGCTATCATTTCTGCCTCACCCTCATAATCATATGTACAAAGTGCGTTGCAAGCGATCGTTCATCTTTTGTATTCAGTGCTCGTTGTGCTGCATCCTCGTAAAACTAAAGTCATTAACCCTTTTCGGGGTCTTGGCCATTCTGTTGCTGTGGACAATGAACTTGCAGGCTGCATATTTGACAGTTCACGACCTTTCAACCAGTTACTATTTACCAACTATTTTCCAGTCCTAATTCGCCACAGTACTTGTGTTCTATATCGATATGGGCCTAAGGTAAGAAAAGCTATCTCAGAAAAAAAGTCAATAAAAAGTACCTTTAAGCGGCTCTCATTCAAACAACAGACACTATCACCCAGAAATAAAGTTGTCTCCAGTTAACGGGACCCTGGCACACAAGCCTCTCAGCACGCATTGCCTTCTTCACCTGACACAGTCAGGTTCGTACCTCACGATATTTTGTCAAATACCCTCACGATTATATTACTATGCTTATCATGTACTCTCTTTTTGACATGAAAAGGTTTGGTCTACAAATGAAAAATGGTGTCGATAAAGATTTCCATTCTGCCATAGTATCTTTATATCAGCAGCTAATTTTAAGAAAACTCAACAGATGCACAAACAAAGAAGTTTTGCGAAGAGGTGTTCGCTTACTTCTAAACCGTTTGTCCCTGAGCATACTAGGAGGAATATATATGACAGTTTTGACTAACAAGTATAATTAATATGTTCACTCAGTTTTCCATCAATCTCACTGTTCCTCATCCCTGCTAGCCCCCCCCCCACCCCTCTCAACCTCTACACCTACCATCCCACCCTCTCATCCCCCCATCCCTACCCAAAGGCCACCATTGTGCTACACCTGCCATAGCTCTTTTATTTATCTGTTTGAAGCTAGATATTCATTTTCACAAGTTTGTAAAAATGTATCCTTGACTAACTTATAATAGAGAAAATTAAATTGGAAAGTTACTGGAAGCATTTAATAAGCATGACTTTGGAAATTGTGTAAGAACATTAACTTGAGTTATATAGAGAGAGAATACACTTACACTTCGTTAGCAGCACAATTCGGGTGTTCCCACAATGGAAGTATCATATGGCCTAGTGTAGATACTCCACAGTGTTACCTCGAGTGTGCCTAATTTTGCCACAAAATAATAATGCATATACCTGAACCTGCCGCCAGGTACGATGACAGGGTTGGGAACAAAGATCTGGGAGTACCTCTCAGGCTCTTGCTTTACCTCCTGAGAGATCTTGCGACCCAGCTTTTTCCAGAGCTCGTTGAGGTTCTTGGCCCACTCCTCAAGTTCAGGATCTTGCACCTTATTCAGGAACTCTGGGCTGCAGGAAGACAAAGAAGATAGAAAAATTAAATGCTCTGTTTATTTTTTACTTCGTTTTAGGGATTTGTCTGTCCCTTCAAGGGGATGAAGGTTTGCTGCTATTGACGAAGTCTTTATCCAAGAAGTTAGACTTAAGTTTCCTTCATCGGATCCAATCTGATTAACTTTTATTCCCTGGATGCTGAAATCAGAATTTATTTAAAATAAAGTCCTTTCTAAAATTTTCTCTTGTACGTTTAAAGAAATATTTTTTCATTTATCTTAATGTAAAAATTAATAATTTTGTACCAAGAGAACCTTAGAAAACTTACCGTAACTTAATATAACAAGCGGAATTTAATTTAGCCTAATCCAACTAAATATATTTTAGATAAGTTACAGTAATTTAATAATAAACAAACACAATTAAATATATTTTTTTTCGTCAGATTCAGAATGATTCTTGCGAAATTATTGCATACACAAATTTTCGCTTCCATTATTCGGCAAGAAGAGCGTTGCTATTTATGCCAAAATCGCAAGTTTTACATGTTCGGCACGACATACACACACACACACACACACACACACACACACATCACACAACATATATATATATATATATATATATATATATATATATATATATATAATGTATATATATATATATATATATATATATATATATATATATATATATATATATATATATATATATATATATATATATATATATATATATATATATATATGAAACCTTGTAGAAGAAGTATGACTTTGTCGCTACGTGGTTAAAAAAAGGTGAGTAGAAAAAATCACGTTTTGCTATACAAGTCTATTTTAACTATTTTGGAACTTTGTAGAGGATAAACCAGCTAAAATATGTAATTTATAACGGCTGCTGAATAAGACTTAGATTACGCATTAACGAAGTTAATGGCCCACAGAGGCTGAGCTCTGTAAATAATAATAATAATAATTATTATTATTTTTACTGTTCATTCATATAGATTGTCTTTCTGAAACAAGTTATCAAACTGAATCGCTCTTAGAGAGGGTCTGTGTATATATACGGAAAGCAATACGCTTCAATAACCCGCGCCTTGAGCACTGATCGAAATTTCGGGAAGCCAACAATTACTGTATACTACATGGTTCTAATAGGATCTTTCATACAGCATTAATTAAACTACAATGTATTTATCAGCCTAACTTCATTCTTTTTCGATATTCTTAACTGCAAACTGTCTCTGAGTGTAATATCTAATGAAGCATTAAAATGAGAATTTCCATCATTTAAAAGGTTTTAAAAACTAATGAGTACATAAAAGAGCATCTCTTCCCTAGCACCGCACGGTAATACTGATCCATCTTGCTTACTCAGCGAAGCTCATTCTATATTCGCGGGGGAAGGGAGGGGGACAAGTGCTTCTCATTACGTTAGGTAAAGAATTAGCTTATCTGAGCAGGAAATATGAAGCTAAAGTGATACTCGACGCAGTTTTCACTGAAAAAGAACGCCAATGTAGGATGCAAAAATTATCAGCATTCAGGAAAATGAATTAGGTAAACATTAATTAAAATTAAAAATAAAAAATGGTAGTTATATACTGGATGTGTTATCACTATGTACATGGGTCATTAAGGCTGCATATCGCCTATGCACTATCAATAATACTTTATTCCCCCGAATAGGGAATAAAGTAAGCAATCAGTGTATATAGCTAACTCCATGGCGGGAGAACTAAAAGCCTAGCAGAAAAATTATGTACTTGTTATGTGATTATTTAATATATTCAATATTCTATGATGGATATAATAAGTGGTAGCATCCACAGGATCGCATCCAAGTATATTATTTCTAGTAAATGAGTACAAGAGGTACATGGTACATCAAGTAAGTGGTAGATTTTAAGTGGAAATTTATTTATTTTAGTTATGGAAACAGTAGACAAGCAGTGGAGTCACAATATATTCTGAAGTTTAGTGGAGCTGCGAGTGCAGGTAATCCTTCGAGAAAATTATTCGGCAGTTAAATACAACTGCTGCTCTGGTTCCAAATAGATTCCCTTCATTTTCTAGAAAAGCAATATTGAACATTAAATTTACATCAATATATTAGATTCCACTATTTTTTTTATTTTTCAGATGTTATTATGCTACATGATACTTCTCTCCACTCATGCGCATGTCCATTTTGACGACGTTTTGGGCCGAAATGTCGTCATAAATTTGTTTCTGCTATGTGCGGATCATTTGTTTAACGTATATGAAGATTAATTTTCCACTCCATCAGTTCTACATATCGAAATGTTAATGTAGAATTTTCCAGCTATTTATAAATTATACTTAGAGTAAAAATTGTGTTTTCACAAATATATTTTATTGTTTAAATCAGGGGGGGGGGTTCCAATAAGCCCATAGGGGTAATATAGCGCCTGGGCCCTGGAAGGCATTCAGGCTGAAGCCAATGAAGGAAAGGTAAATCCATTTCCATGGATCAAGAGCCCCTCAACAGGCTGCTAGTTAATATGATTTAATGCCATCACTGGGGTCATTAATTATTCTAGTTGGTCTTCACTGAACACTCAGAACCACCGGGATATCCTACACGTAATCGATACAAGTTTTTCTTATAAACTGAAATCTAAAATCTATTGCAATATTTTCTTTTATATGTCTCTAAAGATTTGTAATTGCTAAACGCATTTCTTATGAAGAATTCTGTCAAGAGTTTTCTTGAAATACAAATGCATGCAGTCAGACCATTTACCTATCATACAACTTTGTCAAATTGGAGAAACAAAGTTTGTTTAGCGACCTGAACAATTGTTTCTTGCGTTTTATATTTCGATTGTTATTCCCACCATTGTCTGATATATTATTCCTGTGACTTCATGAATTCATTCGTCAGTTACACGTGACTAAAATTTGAAGGAGTATTCCAATCATGTTTTTCACAACATATATAAAAGTATTCTCTAATATAGCAGCTTCTTATTCAGATTCCTCAGCATATTCTTTCACGACACATCGTAACATATCGTTATATTAATTTCATACTTCATCACATGTACAAATAACCCGCACATAGAAGACAGGAGCTTACGACGACGTTTCGGTCCGACTTGGACCATTTACAAAGTCACACTAACGAAAAGGAGAGAAGAAGGGAGTATGTGTAGGCCAGCAGACAGGGACGGAACAAGAGAGGTAACAGTGAAGGTGTTAGTAGTAGTAGTAGTAGTAGTAGTAGTAGGTAGTAGTAGTAGTAGTAGTAGTAGTAGTATTACATCTCTTGTCCCGTCCCTGTCTGCTGACCTATATACACTCCTTCCTCTCCTTTTCGTTACTATGACTTTGTAAATGGTCCAAGTCGGACCGAAACGTCGTCGTAAGCTCCTCTCTTCTATGTGCGGGTTATTTGTGTATTGTACCAGTCAGGGTATTCTGCCTTTTTTTGTTATTCATCACCTGACCTGTTTCCTACCAAGATATGGTGACCTAAATTAAAAAAAAAATTGCGTTCACCATCATTCCAATCCTGGCTAACGGGAACTGCACGGACCTGACAGTCCAAATGATACACGGAACTTCAGAGTCCAAGCACAATTTCCCACTAAAATTCAGGTCCGTCTAACTGGCTTTGTACCCTTCGAGGAAGGTTCCTTGATGCCGGTGAAGGCACTGCATCTATCCTGCCCATCCTTGGATCAAAGCGGATTGCCTTCCATTCCTCATTTGCTGTATGACCCATACATCTTTAGTACTTCCCATGAAAATAATTGTCTTCTGTATATATTAATTAATAATTTCAGTTGAATTATTACAATTTGCTCTATCTCAATTGAATGTTATTAGCTGAAGACTGGTTCGGACCAATTTAAATAATAATAATTTAAATTATTATCATTATTTATAGTAAACACTGTTCACACAGGTTGCGTTATTTCTTGAAAAACTTTATAGTTTTATTAAAAGTTTATTACTGTAAATTTAGCCCATTAAACGCACAGCATTATGGCCCAGGTCACTCTTGCACTTCATCGTGGTCCCAGGAGCTGGGTCGAATTATGTACCCACTGGACCTAGAGCTGAGAATTTTGTATGAGCTTTTACAGCTCATTAGAATTCATAATTGTGTCAGTTTACAAGGTCTTTCAGCATTCCATTAAAAAGTTTATTTTTTTGGATGTAAGAAAAATGTTTGAAAACATTGTCTGAATTTTAATAGGCCTGCCGATGGGCCTAGAGCTTCAGCTCCCTAGGTGCTCACCTTAATAGGACCCCCTAGGAGGGAAAGGGGAAGAGATAGGTGAAAGTGTGTACAAATGAGATAAGAGAAAGGGAAGAGGAAGTGAGGGAAGAGAAGAGAAAGGATGCAAGAAAGGGAGAGAGGTGTCCTTCCCATCCCAAGAGATTGCAACCGTTCCTCTCCCCAGGTCTCCTTTAAGGCACACCGACCTTGTTATTGGCCTGGATGAAACCGTCTGCTTTCCACGACTGCCTCCTCTGCCCTCTCCCTCCCTTTATACCAGCCCAAGCACAACCACTATGTCATTTCCCAGTGAGCAATATTCGCGAGGAGCGTTTTGTGGATATTTCCTTCTCTTGCATAATGTCTGGATGAATGAAAATGGTGCGAATGGAAAGGTACAATTCTTTCACTTCAAAATTTATTGACGAGAATATCTCAGAAAGCTTTATGAACCACTGCGTATCACAATATCACACACAATTGGTTGTGATTGTCTATTGACAACCCTAGCTGGTGGCGTTGAAAGCTCTGGTGTGTATGTGTGTGTGTGTATACTCACCTAATTGTGGTTGCAGGGGTCGATTCATAGCTCCTGGCCTCCTGTGTTTATATATATATATATATATATATATATATTATATATATATATATATATATATATATATATATATATATATATATTATATATATATGCAATAAGATCACAGTAAACAGATGATTTCAGAATATGCAAAACAAACACTGTGAAAGAATAGAGAAAT